AAAAAAAAAAAAGATACAACTGGCGAGCATATAGTGTTAACAGATGAGGTATATCATATATGTAGATAACACTAATACAGTGAAGAAATTCTAGTGCCTTAGAAGGGGTACATACGAATTGCTTTGGGACTTCAGAAAAGGGAGAAATTACTCCTGCCTGGGGCAGGTAGTGGAGGTTGGGGAGGAACTGGGGAGACTGTGCAGTGGACTCTGAGTTACAGAAAATCCAAGCCAGTTGGACGAGGTCTTGAGAGATGGGTCTTAGACATGTGGAGATGTTGGACGCAATGTGCCACCTCTGGTTCTTTGTTCACTCAAATGAGATAGAGTACACACTGTGTCAGGCCTGGCCTTGCTCACTTCTTGGAGTTCACAGTTTATCAGAGAAGATAGACTCTGAACAAGTTATTTCCTAATTAATTGCTGTATTCATGTAACATATATTTGAGTGGCTACTAAATGTACTCTTGGACAGTGAATAAAATAGCCACTGTGCTCATGAAATGTACGTTCTAGTTGGGAGACAGAAAGTACATCAGTGTGTAATCTGTTGTCAGGTAGGGATAAGTACAGTGACGAAAAATGAAGCAGGGTAAGAGGATAGAGCAATGACAGCCAGGTGGGGCTGTTTCAGTTAATGTGATCAGGAAAGGCCTCTCTGAGAGAAGGACATTTGGGGTGAGACCTGAACAAAATAAAGAGATCGAGTTTTCCAGATTGAGGGAATAGCAATGCAAGAACTTCAGGATGGAAGGTTTTAGTATTCTAGGAATAACAAGAAGATCTCTAGATTGGAGTGTAATTTGTAAAGGAAAAAGTTACAGAAAATGAGAATGGAACAATAATATGGGCCTGGTTTGACAAGGCCTTGTGGCATGGCGATGGAATGATGTTGGGAAGCCACTGGGAGAATGACATGATCTGATTTATGTTTAAAAGATCCCTCTAGGGTGCCTGGGTCTGCCTTCGGCTCAGGTCATGATCCCAGGGTCCTGGGATTGAGTCCCGCATTGGGCTCCCTGCCCCTTGGGGGAGCCTGCTTCTCCCCCTGCCTCTTTCTCTTTCTCTGTCTCTCATGAATAAATAAATAAAACCTTAAAAAAAAAAAAAGAAAGATCACTCTAGCTGCTTTGGTCCACATGGAAATCAGGAGACCGGTTATCTCAGCAAGGAGATAAAGGTTGCTTGTGTAGTAATAGTGCAAATGACAAGAAGAAATATTTAAAGGAAGGGCCAGTGGGCTCTTCTGATGGATTGGATGTGGGGCCTGAGAGGAAGATGGCATAGTGTGGTGCCATCTGCTGAGAAAGCAGATGCTGGGAGAGGAGTGGGTTCTGTAGGGCGGGGAGCAAGGTTTTCTCTTGTTCGAGGTGCCAGCTGACATCCAAAGGAAGATGTAAAGTAGGCAGTTGGATGTGAGTCTGGCATTTGGGGGAATGGTTGATGCTAGACGTTTAATTTTGGGTGTTAATAGGATATAGAGAGATTTAAAGCCCTGAGACAGGATGAAGTCACCTGGCAAGTGAGTGTAAATGGATCCTCCCCCTACTGTTTAACATGCTCCTGTGATCCTGTTTCAGATCAGATTCAAGTTCAATTTGGGGGAAAAATACTTCATGGATAGTGTTATGGACTTACTATAATATATAATGGTCCATCAGGAAGCACTGTGGTTCTTTCTCTTCTTCTGTATTACCACTCTGGTCCATTTATTATAAAACTTCATCCCCATCAGGTTATGAATTAGTTGGTGTTAGCAACCATTGTTGATCATTTCCTGAATCCATTATTTCAATAGGGATGGCAAAATGGTGTTACTGAAAATCTTTCCTTCCTTCTCAATTAGCTGAAACTCTTCAGTAAAAAGATCTTTACCTCATCAACTCTTTGGTTAACCTGAGGTACAGTTTGTACAGGAAAGGTAGGATAAATGCTTGGAATTTTCTAAGATTGACCAGAGAGAGCTTTTTCATGGTGATTCTTGAGTTTTTTCAATAAGACCCTAGAAGGCTTTGATAGCTTCCTTGTTTTCCTGGTATGACAGGATGTTCCAGGTTCATCTTATCTATTTCCTGCTCCAGACTTGAATTGGCCATTTCTTTAAGGGTCCTGCAACCCTCACTCTTTACCAGTGTGTGATATGGGGTAGTTTTAGAATGTTTTTTGTATCCTGTGGTTTTATGGTGATCTTTTTTTCTCAGAATACATTTCTGTTCTTGTGTGTACTGGTATAACAAAATAGAATGAACATACTTTTAAAATGCCACATTTTAATTTATATATTTTTTTAAATGTGTGTATTTTAGAGAGGATGGGGGAAGGGCAGAAGGAAAGGGAGAGAGAGAATCTTAGAATCGTGGAGCCCGATGCGGGGCTTGATCTCATGATCTGAGCTGACATCAGGAGTCAGATGCTCAACCGACTGAGCCACCCAGGCGCTCCAATTTATATTTGAATTACACAGTTTTGAATGACTTGATTAATTCATTAAGTCCTGCTTCCTTACCACATTTTTTAATTTAGTAACTCACAGGTGAATTTCGTGCCCAAAATACTACTTCTTGAATATAACTAATCTAAACCATGGAGATTATCATAAAGTCAGAACTGGGCTGGTTTTAAAATGTGCTATACAATCAGGCTTGGCATACTTTGGTTATTGCTCTCCCCTGCTCTCCTCTTCCCATTGACTTTTATTTGAACTTTTTATTTGGGAGCCATAGCATAATTCTTAATAAGTAGCAGAATCATGGTGATTACAGAATTCTTGTTATATTTTACACACACATATACATGCATATGGAGAAAGACTACTTTTCACTGTAGGGTAGTTAAGCATTCAGATTTGATAATGTCAGAATTCTGATTCCCCTTGTAAGATTTTCTCCATGGCCTGTGGGAACCAAATCCTTTGTGAAACCATTAGTGGCAGAGATAAATACATAATGGAAACTAACAGCATGGACCCTTTGCTTAACATCTTTACAGAAGACTGCATGTTACCTGCAAGTCTAACTCTAACACACCAGGCATTCTCCTTCACCCTAGTCCCTCTTCTCTCTGAGAGAAATTGTGTGTGGGAATGTTGGAGAAAAAAACAACAGAGCAGTGATCCTGTCATAACCACCATGCTTTAGACACAAAGGGTGTACATGTACCTCCTGCCTGTGCTTTGGGCTATTTTTTTTAAGATTTTATTTATTTATTTGAGAGAGAGCACAAGCGGGGGGAGGGAGAGAGGGAGAGGGGCGAGCAGACTCTCCGCTGAGTGAGGTGCCCGACGCTGGGCTCGATCCCAGGGCCCTGAGATCAAGACCTGAGCCAAAGTCAGACACTTAACCGACTGAACCACCACCCAGGTGCCCCATGCTTTGGGCTATTTTGACAACACCCAAGGTGTGTTCAGTTTTTGAGGACGGTCAGGGCAGATCTTCCTAAATGCTACTGAATTTGCCAGGCACGTTTAAGAACATTATGACTAGGTTTGCTGATTTGAGTGATGTCAGATTCTTTATCTTCTCTAACTTGTCAGTGAATTCTCTATTTTTTGAGTGATCTCCTTTGGGTCAGGCATGAAAACAAACCGGACTTATGTGACAGGGCAGAAATGCACAGAGGAGAGCTGGGTTTTATGATTGTATATTAATTTAAAGACCAACCGTGGCTTCCCTCTTCCCTGAGGGAATCTTTTTTGGAGATTTCTGGCCTAGCCAGTTGAATTTTTTTTCTTTTACTATCAAACAAAAGGAACCTTCAAAGTTCTCATAATGAAAGAGTGAACAGATGAATGAATGAATATGACAAGAGTCAAAACATGGCAAGAGTTGAAAGAAAATTTCATTATATATATTCAGAAATTGGGAATCAGGTTTTCAAAAAAGATTATTAAAAGGCACAATTTTACTCTGAAAAATTAACTACTGTTTACAGGTTTTTGTTTCCACGTTTTCATGAAGTCATTTTTTTAGAAAACTTGGGAATATATTCTTAGAATCTTTAGAATACCTTTGTAATATTTTACTTTGATTTTCTGGGGGAATATTCATTGTCTGGGGATGGCTTTGTTAATTGGAATCTGTGCCGTGAAAATGTTTTGGGAAAGATTTCTTTCAGTAATTTTTTTCTGCCTTGTGTAAGATAAAGATCCCTTATTAAAGGATCTTTGTGTGGTCTAATTCAAATGGTAGTCTGGCTTGTTGAAGGCGAACATCTATTTTGAAACTTCAAGGTTAAACTCAGAAAAATGTTAGACCTCTCAAGATTAAGCACATAGAGAAATTGCTACAGAAATCCATAGAAATCAAATGTCATAGAAATCGGACTACTGACATATGACTGTTATGTGACAGACTCATTAAGTGGATTAGTATCTATGCTCTTCTCTTGTTTGATTTACTCTTTTTTTAATTGAAAATATTTGTCATATTATATAATGCTCCATTCTTAGTGCTAAATATCCATCAGTTGTGTGCTTTCTGTACTGATTTCAAGCCTCAAAATGGAGAATTAAGGGCTTTAATTTTTTATGAGAACATTTATAAACTCTTATTTACATTTAATTTTGTTTTTTCTGTCTCATCATTTCCTGTGGCTTCATATGGAATGCAGTAACATACTATGCTGAGTTCTTTTATCCCCTCTGAACATACTCACTGATCTATGTACCCTTAATGAAGCAGCTTAGTACCTGTGGTATTCAGGGCCTCTGGGGGAGAGCGGATGAATAGGTACATCAGAAAAATGGGGAGGAGATATGGCATTCATCTTGGGCATCTTGAAGAGCTGAGGGCCACCCTGGTACTGCTGGATTGATTGTCTCCATAAGGTAGTCTATGCAGCTGGAAAATAAATCCTCTTTTTCAAGCTACATGGTGAGTGATCATTGCTGTGAGCTTCTGAATGTGCATTTTTCCCTTAGGAAAGAAAAATGAAAAAAGAAAAATCTGTTATTTCCCATTCTTCCCTCCAGTGATTTAGCAGAACTTTTCTATTTTCTTCAGGTAATTAAACCAGAGAGCAATGACAAAGAAACAGAAGGTGCCTATGAATTAGATCTCCCTGAGGAGCTCTGTGGAAGCCATCTCCCGCAGCAGTCCGTGAAAGGCTACGGTGACAGTCCTGATGTCATTATAGAGGCTCAGTTTGATGACAGCGACTCAGAAGATGGACATGGCAACACACAGAATGTTCTGGTTGATGGTGTCAAGAAACTCTCAGTTTGTGTTCATGACAAAGGTGAGTGCTGGATTGCTGTCTGACATTTTATTTTACTAACCTGATTGGTTTAAGAATTGGGGTTCTCTCTGTGCTACAGACTTAATCGCACAGTGCAGTTGGGACCTTCCCAATTTCTAACCAGTGGCAGCTCTTAGGAAGGGGGGATCTTTGACCACTTCTGGCTGCTGGCTGTGAGGAGGGGTGGGGGATGCTGCTGTGGCCAGTGGATGCTCTTGTCCGTCTCTAATAGGTCTTGAGTTGTGTTGATAGCTAACCTTGAAGTTTCCTGTGATGAGTCCAGTCCACCCCTGTAGCTGATGGGAACAGAATTAAACTGATCTTTCAAATCCACAAAAGCGCTTCACTTTACCCTCGATTTTGCTTTAACTCAGTACATTTTAAAAGTATTTTTCATCATTGGTGGTGGGAATGGATCACCTTAAATTTGATAAGTAGATTATCTTTACAAAGTGTTTCAATTCTAAACCTTGGGGGGAAAAAAGCCAGTCTTACTGTCTGTGATCAAAATCTAAGCCGTGTGTCCTCTGGATGCAGAAGAAAGCAGGTCCAAAGACATGGGCAAGGAGCTACTGCCAAGGGCCCTAGCTGACCACATGCAGGGAAACCAAAGGGAAAGTAGCAGTGAAAATTGGAATATTTTCATGTATAGATTGCTAAGAAGTTTTAAGTGCAGGGGGTATATTTTCCAGCCAAATTGAGTTTTATCTATACTCTGACATGGAAACAATTGACCTAGCTAGGCCGACTAGGTTACGGGCTTTTTTTAATCAGGAAGAAGTTTCTGGTACTGTCCCCTTGAAAGACTAGAAGAAATGCCAGAAGATGACTGAAAGAGGCTGTTCTGTGGACACACTGGTCTAGGGTCTGATGAGCATGCCTTCACTGACATCCTGAAGTAAGCTGGAGGTGATTTCAGGAAGTGACCGCAAACGTATCACCTTGTCTCTTCACTGCTGATGAGGTAGTGACCTGGGGTGGCGAGCATGTTCTGTAAACATGTGTCACTTTTTGGTGCCAAGCACTACTCATTCAGAAGGAACTTCCAACTGTGAGATTCTTTTTGAATGGAGAGACTACTGCTTCGTCAGTGGCCCACCAGGTACACTGACCTGAGGTACCCAGGTTCCTTTTGTTTTGTGGCCTGCTTAGTTAACTAGTGATTTCACTGTTCCAGACCCGCCCAATATCAGTTGGATGTTATTCCTTGAGATTTCATTCTTCTGATGTTTTCTCTTTCTTCCTTTAAAAACAGTTGGATACTGTGACCCTCTTCTGAGAGTGCATTTATATTATCATGGCGTCAGTACTGGGAGTCATGTCTTCTCTGTGAAAAGAGAGGGAAAGAACCAGGACCCTACGTAGCCAAATCCTCCATCAACAAGATCACCGGGGAGATACTTGCAGGACAAAGCCAGGCAAAGGAGCACTTTAAAACTTACTTATTATTTGGCCCAAAACTACTTCATGGAAGCCTAGCTCTGGTGTTTGGACTTTGGCAGACCTCAGGAGCCACTGTTCCCCTGGGCTCCCAAGTCGAAGGGATAAGATGCCCTGATTTCTTGTTAGTGATTGGTACCAATACAAGGGCAAGGAAGTATTGATGGATGGGAGTGATGACAGAACTGATGCCAGAGTGGATACTGATAATCTACTTTGCTCTTTGGGAAATTCTGTTGGCAGACCTGCTCTTGATTCGTCCTCTGTTGTAATTCCCCTCCTTGTCTCTTACAAGTAAATATCATTGAGTCCTTTACATGTCCACTGTATGCATGTTTTTTCCTTACTTTTTTTATGGTCTTCCTTTCTTACTGTTGTTTATATTCCTTCCTTACTAGGCCTGAGGAACAGCCTTAGTCCTTCCCTCAGTATGTGGTACAAATTGTTGTTTATATTCCTTCCTTACTAGGCCTAAGGAACAGCCTTAGTCCTTCCCTCAGTATGTGGTACAAATTTCTCTTTCCTGCCAGCCTCTAAATAGAGAGTTTGTGAAACCACATGGCTGTTTCTCATTTCTTGCCCTCTTGATATTTAGGAAAATTGCAATTTGCCCTTTTAAAAATCACAGTGTTTTTAGGATATTTCAACCTGCTTCTCGTCTCTGGGTGATATAAAATCTGGTTATAGTTAGGGTGTTGGTACTTTTTGCACCATTTAAGGTTTTGAAATTTGTTATTGAAACAAACCATAACCTTAAGAACATCATAAACTTTTCCTAAGACTTCTAGAAAGATTCCTTGCTTTGTGTCGTAATTGCAAATAGTTATTAGTCCTAGTGGTGTTCCACTAGGATTTCTTACTGGTGTTCCAAAGAGTGCTTTTTATTTGTTTATTTTTGTTTTAATATCATGTTTTACCTAAAGCAAACATTACCTATTGCATGTGTATGCATTATATATCCCTGTTTGCCCAGGAAACATTCCTGTTTTTACCATAAGTACGTTTCTCTGGTAAGTGAGCAGATAACCCCAGGGTCTGCAACCAGTGCCTATTGTTGCATGAAGAGAAAAGTTTCTCTGGGCACCTCAGACCTACCCAGTAGTTTCTTCTAGGAAGACAGCATGCGTCTGCATCCTCCTCAGCCCCTGAGAGAGAGCGGGCCAAAGACCTGGGCCCGTTTTGTAGGTCCAGCCCCACAGGTTCCTGAGGCTGAGCTTTTACCACAGTCCGGGGAGCAATGTTGTCATCAGCACAGAAATCTGCCATCTGGGTAGAGACTGGGGACAACCCAAGTAAATTTTCTTTGGTATCAGATATTTGGGTACTGGTTGCCTGTTAGCAAACTCCAAAGGCTAAAAATCATGATGGCGAAGTGGTATTGTATGTAGTTCTGCCTCTTTCATCATCAGGAATTTTAAGAGCAGTTTTGGCCTCTGAATCTTGGGGATCATGACCTCCTCAGGTTGTGATGTACGTTTCCCGTTCTCTGTCCTAGCTGGGTCTGCCAGAGATCTTGTTCAGTTTTCTGGTCTGGAGACAAGCCTCTACTAGTACCCTGATGACTGTGGAGTTGGTGACCCTTTCTCTTCTCCCTTCTGTCTCCTGGCCACCTCTGTCTCTTTTCTGAAGGAAGAATCTGCATGAAATCTAACTACTTCTTTTGGGGCCTGCCCAAGTCAGCTTCAGGATCAGGATGAGACTTTTTTTCTCACTTAACGTTCATCTCCTTCCGTGACAGGCCTGCTCAGTGCCTGTGTTTAGGTTCTCTTCCCTTGAATGAGAAGTGACTGTATTTCCCTTTGGCTAAGAAAAGCAGACCCATATGATCATTCTCTTGTGATACTTCTAGGTTATTTAAATCCCAAGAACCCTTTTTCCTGACCATTCTTTCTTGGAGTTAAATTTCTTCTGTTTCCAGATTCTGGGATCAGATCTTCCCTAAATGATGATTAGTACAACTAGAAGACCGTTATGTTTGCTTCAGAAATTATATTAAACATTAAACATATAGTAATTTCCTTTCAGAAATGTTTTGAAATCTCATTTAAAAAAAGGTAAAGCCACTCAATTTCCACCCTGGAATCTCTTCATTTATAAAACAACATGCTCAAATGTCAGCGACAGGAAAGTTGGGAAACCTGAAAACACATCAGCAAATGAATTCAGATTCCAACAGAACACAGTGCTTTACAGCTAATAGCTTGTTTTTCATAGTTCCTGATATTTTCAGAAAAATCGAAATAAATTTGTTCCCTAAAAAAGAAAAAGGTAAAGCCATGTCCAGACCTGTGTGAGAAGGGTGCAGTGGGATTTTGGTTTTCCCTGTCTTTTTAGACTAAGTGGCCAATGCAGTCATATCAGGTGTGATTCAGGTAGAGGTATTTGGTCAACCTATAGTGTCTAAGGCCCAAAGCCTGTGCTAGACTGGCCATTTCTCCCTGTGAAGTCCCCCAAAGAAATACATGCACACAGGACAAAGCAAGGCAGAGGAGCAGTTCTTTATTAACTGGGGCTTTGACCCAAAAGCCAGAATGATGATGCCAGTCTAGCAACCACTAACAAGTCTGAGGCTTCTTACATCTTCTCATTCTTGCCAACAGCTAGAATTATCCAGCTTTCTCTTTTTGTAGTCTAGATTAGGTTCTGTAAATTGCCTTTTCATAGCATTTGCCCAGTGTTCTGTCAGGGTTACTGTTCTCTTGTTGATTTGCAGGAATTTCTTATCTATTTTCTACAATAATCCCATTTCCATTTTAGGCATTATAAGTATCTTCTCCCATTCTGGCAGTCATTTTAACACTAACGTTGTCTGTGGTGTCTTTTATTGAACAAAGGCTCTTAATTTTAATGTGATAAAATTAGTCATATACTTTATGGGTTTTTAAGTTTTTCCCTATTCTTCTTTCAAATAGGTATTCTCCCATGTAATCTTTTGTTAATGCTACAGTTTTGCCTTTTGCTTAACTTTATAATGCGTATTCTTTATTGATTGAGATTATTATCTGGTTTTTCTCTAAATCTCTTTCTGATGTTGAACCATCCTAAAAATTCAAGGCTATCCTTGAATTTTTAGGATAAATCTTTAGGACTTATCCTAGGATATTTATCCTAGGGTAAATCTCAAGGATAGCTTTTTTTTTTTTTTTAATTTATTTATTTATTTTAGGGAGAGCAAGAGAGTGCACAGTGGGAGGAGGGACAGAGAGAGAGAGAATCTCAAGCAGGCGCTGCGCTCACATGGAGCCCAACATGGGGCTCAATACACAAACCTGGGATTATGACCTGGGCCAAAACCAAGAGTAAGACGCTCAACCGACTGAGCCATCCAGGTGTCTCTATCTTGAATTCTTTTTTTTTTTTTTTTTTAAGATTTTATTTATTCATTTGACAGAGAGAGAGCACAGGCAGGGTGAGTGGCAGGCAGAGGGAGAAGGAGAAGCAGGCTCCCTGAGAGCAGGGAGCCCGATGTGGGGCTCAACCCCAGGACCCTGGGATCATGACCTGAGCCGAAGGCAGACTGTCAGCCAACTGAGCCACCCAGGCACCCCCCCATCCTTGAA